TTAAGTCTTTTTTCTGTCTGCCATTTTTTCCCCATCACTTATTTATAATTCATTTTTAGGCAATGTCGTATTAATTATTTTATTTAGAATTCTATAGCATTGTCGTAAGTTTCACCAAAACCAGACCTTGACCATAAACTTTTTATTTAAAATTTAACAATTCATACCTAATCAGAAATCATGTGTTGTGTTTGTTATAAGGATTAAATGCTATTTAACCTCCGAATCGTTATAGCTTGCCAGTTCATGCACGTAATATCTTACTATAATTTGTTTTATTTTTCGAACTTTTAAATAATATTACTTGACAATATCCATTTATATTTTGCAATCTTCAAGCAACGGCTATATATTGAGACTATATATTTATAAATGTGTCTCGCATTAGAAAAACAACATTCGAAAGTTTGCATTTCCTATCGTGTTGACAATAAATTAATTCAACTAATAGTTTCAAGTCGCGAAGTTGGAATCATCCCTTCAACATTTTATAAACTCAACCACGAATTGATTGACCGTTATGCAATATCTTGTCCACAGATCATGACGACTATATTCTAATTTTTGTAACCAAAATCTTCTTCTCTCTTCAAAGAATATGACCAACCAAATAAAACATATCACCGGGTTTGAATTTGCATGAGCACCATGAAGGGTACCACATAAGGATGCAACTTGCATACTATTCTGTTACGCCGTTCCTCAAATTATATAGTTCGTCTGATTATATTCTTAATCTGTTAATGTGTTCCAGTCTAGGAGGATTATTCATCTTTACATGATAAGAATGTTAAAACATCGCATCATCGCTACCTTTCCCTTTCTTACACGTATCTCGAATTGAACATTGGAAGGTCATCCAGTACTGGAGAACTTTCTAAGGACAAAGTCATCTAGGACACGATTCGTGGCTAACCACACAGTGAGTTAACTTTATAACATTGTAGTTGAAGCCTTCAATATGCTCTACACATATTCCAACATTTTCTCCGTGAAACACTGGAAATTTAACTGCTCTTGAAAGTACAACATTTTCTCGGATTCAACGGACTGTGCAATCAATTATTTTTGACATTGCATACATTATAACATTAATTCAACACATTGTAAAATTGTAATTTATTCGTATTTCAGCTTTTTACCATTTGTTAGATTGGTTTAGGAATAAAGTATCAGCACCTGATAGTCTTTTTGAGCCCAATCGTCGGTTAAACTTAATGGTCAGGCCATTACAGTAAACAGTCTACAACTTGCCTGTTGTGTCTCACAGATAACGTCACTCCATGTTAGTTCTACAGCTACAACCTGCCTGTTGAGCCCTACAAGAACACGTCATCCCTTGATGTACAGTATATTGTCGACTACCTGTCTTTACATATCTTGACAAGGAACGACAACGTTGCAACGTACGTACTGTTACACTGACAGTGCGCAACACAACTTGTGTGTACCAGGCAGCAAACCACCAACGTTGGCAGCAGTTTATTTTAATCTTACTATCCGTTAGTTGATTAGGAAACATGGATTCTGATCACGCAGAACGCCAATTGCAAGACGACCCCGAGCGTTTTTAAAGCTGGCTTTCCATGTATGAAAGGATTCTGCCTGGTCGTTAAAGCTTGTTAGCCGAGAGAACAGCAGGTCCTTACGTAGGAGAAATCTGGTTATCTCTAACGTAGGATTGATTTGTTGCAGGTGTGCAGAAGGAGTCTCTTTTATAACGCCTTGTGTTTTGTGTGAGACAGGGAACTCTTCTATAATGCCTTGTTTTTGTTTTGAGACAGGGATCTTTGCTGACATGCCCTGTTTTCCTATGCCAGTTACTGTTCCTAGATCTGGGAATACATTACCTTTTGATGACTTAGCATGTGCAGGTAAGACAGCAGGTGTCTCTGATGGCAAATTCAATGCCACGGATGGTACGCACTCAGGTGCATCATGGCTAAGCCTAACAGGAGTTTGTTTTTTCTTTAGAGACCCCGTCACTTCCTGTAAGGCAGTAGGTATTTTGACTCTTCGTCAGGGATAAAATTCTATGGGAAAAAATTGCCATACGGACTTCAAGAAAAGTGGATAACCAGGGCTTCAAGATACAAGTCTAAATATGAAGTTGCCTTTCCACCTTTCACAGAATTCTCTGCCTTTATCAGGGAAATAAGCAAAATAAAGAACGATCCTGGGTTCTACTATGGGTTAAAAGTCAGTCATTCCAAATACAAAAGCCGCTACGCCAAGGTTCACACCCCAGACGTACTCTTAAGTCAACGTCCATAAGACGGCTTTTGAACAGCAACCTGAAGACAGCAGTCAACAACAAGATCTGTGTATCCTACACAAGACAAAGCATACCTTGAACGAATGCCGAGCGTTCCGAGCCAAATCAATCGAGGAACGCAAGGAACTGTTAACAAAAAACAATGTGTGCTACAAGTGTTGTGAGTCAACCACACACAGAAGTCGGGACTGCAATGCAAGTATCAGTTGTAATGAGTGTGGAAGTCAACGACATAATACTGCACTTCACATCACTAGACCACAACAACCTGCAAGTTTTCAGTCTAGCTCGCCCAGACAAGCCTACGGCGGGGAGCCAACAGAATCGGCTGAAATCAAGTTGACTTCTGTGAGTTCAACCTGCACAGAGATCCACAATGATCCTAAAAGTGAGAAATCTTGTGCCAAGATAGTACCTGTGGATGTGTACCACAAGGAAAGGACAGACAAAATTATTCGGATGTACGCCATCATTGACGTAGCAACCGGTGTCTTGCCTCACCTGCATTCTTCAGTCTGTTCAACGTTCGGGAAAAATCTGAAAACTACTTTCTTACAACATGCTCCGGCAAAGTAGCTACTTCCGGGAAAAGAGGAAAGAATTTCGTCTTAACATCTGTACATGGTGACGTACAATTTGATCTGCCTACATTAATTAAATGTAATAATATTCCCAATAATCGAGACGAAATTTCTACTCCTGAAGTCGCAATGCATCATCCTCATCTAAAAAAACTCAGAGGAAGCATTCCACCAATAGAATAACATTGTCAAATTCTTCTCTTAATTGGAAGAGACCTTATAGAGGCACACCATGTCCTTGAACAACGCCTAGGATCATCCAGAACTCCATTTGCCCAAAAGTTGAAACTTGGTTGGGTCATAATTGGAAATACATACATTGACAAGCAAACTGTTACGCGTGAAGTCAACACAAAGATAACTAACGTTTCAATCACGAAACCAGAACAACTTCTCAACGCCTCAAGACCGGAAAATTCCGTCAAGGACGAAAATCCAATCGTTGGTGAAGAAAATTACCAAAACTTTAATTCGAATGTGAAGGTTGCAAAAACGCACTCATACAACGCATACAATTCCTTGGGGATCTGGTACCAAATCTGGTAAACTCAAGAATTTCTCTTAAGGAACAGCACTCGTGTCACTAAAAGCAAAATCTGAGACTTCTATAGAAAATTCTATGGATAAAGAAAATTGCATTCCGAAATCATCAAGATCTGATGTTCATGGAGAGGAAATCAGTCGCATTCACAAATCTACTCCGAAGGAAGGACCGATTGCCAATCTCAAACTGCCTGTGAACAATCAACGTCTACTCCAAGTAGGAAGCAGTATCGCTAATTCTGACTTGAATTTTAGTGAAAAGGAACCAGTGGTCTTATCTGAACATCATCACAAAGTAACACCCTTTGTTGGACATTTGTCGTTCCAATTCAATGGGACTTTAAACAGTCATTTTAACGCAATATTTATTTGCATATAGATATCCTCATGCATGTAACTTCAAAAGCCATTTTACTTACTTGTAATTATCACTACAAACTGCTCAGAGTCTGAAAAGACCACATTTTGTGCTCGAATAGTAAGGTCGAGCACAGATTTTACTTGGTAAGACTCGACATAATTTCCACAGTACTTAACTGTACTTAACTATACTCGACTTATTCGAGCTTTTTTTTAACTATTAATTAAATCCTTTAATTTGACAGCAACGACCCAAATTACCAAATAACCTGGAATTTTGTAAGATCAATATATAATTTAGTTAGATGGGATGATTCAGACCAGTCAAGACTAAGTCTAGACAGGTAGACTGCTCGAGACTGAGTCAAGACTGGTTTAGACAAATCGAGACTGGTCGAGCATTTGTCGAAACCATTTCAGAATAATCCAAGATTAATAAGTACTCAATCAAACTTATAAAGGAAAGTCGAGACCAAAGTCGAGTACAGTTAAGTACAGTTAAGTACTGTCGAGATTATGTCGAGTCTTATCAAGTAAAATCTGTGCTCGACCAGTAACAAAATTTGGTCTTTTCAGACTCTGAGCAGCTTGTAGTGTATGCATCCTAAATATTCCAGATCATTCTAACAACAATTCTAATGCACAATTTTGGGCGTCGTAGCTGTTTTTTATTTATCATTTGGTTTTTTAACGTAGAATATAGATCATTGGCAGCGATTTATATTTTAAGCGTTGGTTTATGTACATTTATAGTAAGATGAGAAATAAGAAACTTATTCATATTTGTCCCTCCTCTCATTTATCTATGAATATGAATTTGACACGAAATTATATAGCAAGGTAAACCAGTAAATGCAAATTTATTAATTGATCGAGCGTAGGATCGGATCTTGAATACTAATACTGTATTTTTTCCGTATCTAAACCTTCTCCTGTCCGGAACATGTTCCAAATTCTACGTATAATTCTAGTCAAAAGAATCATTTTATAGACAGAAAAAGAATAACTTGTGTACCAAAAAGTTCATATATATCAGTGTTTATATCGGACAGAGGCAACTAAAGATCAAGTGACCATTTCAATGATTGATGGTAGTATCACGTTGAAAAAAAGGATAAATGTTCTTTTATTTTCTAACTATAATTATCAAATGTACATTCAACAGACAAAACGAATTCATATAAACACAATGAATTTGTTTTAAATAACAAAAAAACAAAAAAAAAACGCTTTTGATCGGAAGCATTACCTTACTTATCCGACCATTCAGTGGGACTGTGACTATAGGCTTAATATCTTATAACTAAAAGGGTATAACATTCGATGTTTTTCGACGGTGTTATAGAATATTGAGATACAATCAGTATCTTATACATAAACTATTGCTGATGCTTATCTATTTGGCTTTCTAAGCATTATAGTAAAAGTTTTAAAAAGGTACTCTTTCGGTACCGACAGTGATTTGACAACAATAGTAAAATACACTACTTAACCTCTGTTGCTATCCAATAAATCTCATGTATGGTCCTGCAGCATCATAATCAAACGTAAACATTGTTATTCCACAAGGTCGTGCTGTTTATAATACGTCTTATGACTCTGTCCGTTTAAGGTGAACTAATTGATGTTATAGTCTTCGGAAACATGGTGTGTTCGTAAATTGAAATTTGGTATAGTACTCTTGATGACTCATGCCCCTTGCAAGTAATATATGATGATATGATGTCATACCACGGTACCAAGAAGGTGAATGTGAACGTTCATAACCACGTTTTAAAAGCACCCCCCCCCCCTCTTTTCCCTTTCCATAATATGTGTGAGCCTGTCAATAGCTAATTGCATGAAGTTCAGTGGTTGGCGTTGGCCGCCATCTGCCATAAATGTTTTTCAATAAGGGTTATTAGCTTTAATCAACCGCTGTTTTTCTCTTTTAAATTGTTTCACATTTTGTCATCAAAGAAACTTGAACATGTATAGCCTTCCATTCGTCATTGATTTTGTTCATTAGTGAAAGTCGGACCGTGACCTGTACTCTTTTGGTCTTTGATGGATTCTTGTCTCATTGGCCATCATACAGTATCATTTTGTTTACTGTGAGACTGTTATGTTATTTATTTAAATGCATGTAGACATCCCTAAAGCTTTATTAATTCACGTTCATCATATTCATGGATGGGAATGAATTGAAGGCAAGAAATAAATATATCTATACAAGCTGGAAACAGAAGGATAATTACAGTAATTAAAACCGAAAATATGTAAAAAATATTTCACTTTGATGTTGACGTAATATAAAATATAGTTTAAAGTAGCTAAAGCTTGTTCATGTAAACAAATCCTAATGCAATTTTATCAATGTCAATGTTGAATATTGATCTACTATGTATATCTTTGAATTGTCGTTTCTGACATACACTCTGTCGTTTCTAATCAATTTCACTAATACGGAACCTGTCCCTGAAAAAAAGTCCCTTGTAGATGAACCAGATTTGCCAATGTAATTAGAATATGTTATCGGTTGATTGTTTTTAAAAAATCTGTATTTGTTGTCAGTAGTCGAGCCTGATAATAAGGTCACGATAATAAGATATAGTCCATCTGTTTCACATGTGAATACATCAGTACTTTTGAAGGAAGATAGATGTGAATGACCGTACACTGTCTGAACGTTCGGAAACCTTAGAATATCTCCCGAAGATTTGTCGCCGAATGATGTACCAAATGAAGTAAATCCAACTGAAAAAGAAAAATGACCAGTTATATACATATATATATATATTTGCGAAAGCAAATTTACAGATCAAACATTGTTGGGCTGATGTTTAGACGAGTTGCAAATATATATATATATATACAAGTCTAAACTGAAAACAACGTTCACACCTATGATTGCGTTGGATAAAAACCGCAATTTTTATACGTGTGCATGTAAAACAAATTTCTATTTAGCGGGGTCTAAATACAGCACAAACAACATTTTCCAAAAGACCAAAAAAGTGAAAAAGTATATTTTAACAAAACGCATTTGACTAGCACGTCGAACAACTGATGTTCTTAAACCCTGCTGACTGCCATTGGCGATTGCCAAATACACGGATCATAAGATGTAACATATATCAGCACAACAATGTTAAATATCCAAATTTGATTCCGTTAATTGTTGTTCTTCCCTCGCCGAGATTCGAAATCATGCTATTTGGATATCGAGCCAACACCGTCTGAACTGTGTCCAGCGCTCTAGCCCACTCGGCCACCTAGACTGAACTAAAAATTCAGCTTTCGGTGGACTAGTGTTACCTTTCCTCGTCAGTAGGATCTAGATTTGTAACACAGTACATGATATATTAGGCATGAAGATGGACTTGAGTGCAGATTAGCTAAATTATCTATCTATGTATATTGTTGGGATAAATTTGAGGCGAATTATATATATAATGGTGTTAGCCCTGTATAACCACGTGTTATCCAATTGAGAATGTCTGTCATAAAGGTGTCACATTTTTAGACGTGTATAATAAATTTAAAATTTGATGTGGCGGTATGGTAATTAACATTATCATCCCATACGAAATACATGTAGTTGATCTGAAATGTACACCATCTACTTGCAACTATACATCGTGTACTGTGTTACAAACCTAGATAAAGACGACGAGAAAAGGCATTACCTCGACCATCGAAAGCTATGTTTATATGTTGTCTAGGTGGTCGAGTGGGCTAGGGCGATTGGAACATCATGTGGTGTTGCCACGATGTCACAGAAGCAAGCGTTCGAATACCACTGAGGGAAGAACAAGAATTTGGTAACGCAAATTTGCAGATCTAACATTGTTGAACTAAATTTAGGACGAATTATATAAATATAGTCTTGCTTATTATATATTATATTTTCCATCGGATAACACGTGGTTATGTGGAGCTAACACCATAATATATATATATAATTCGTCTCAAATTAAGCCCAACAATGTTAGAACAGCAAATGTGCGTAAGGAAACATTTGTTTCAGCGTGATTCGAATCCTTGCGCCTGTGACATCGTGGCAACACCGCCTGCACCGTGTCCATCGCCCTTAAACACTCGACCACCTAGGCTACATAAAAATATAGCTATCGGTGGTCGATGTAATGCTTTTCCTCGTCGGCTTTATCTAGGGTTGTAACACAATACATGATGTATAGTGGCAAGTAGATGGTGTACCTTTCAGATCAGCTATGTTGTCTGTAGTAAAGAATGATAATGTTAATTACCATACCACCAAATCAAGCTTTAATTGTATTATATAGATATAAGAAGGTGTGATATGAGTGCCAATGAGACAACTCTCCATCCAAGTCAAAATTTATAAAAGTAAACTATTATAGGTCAAAGTACGGTCTTCAAAACGAAGCCTTGGCTCACACCGAACAGCAAGCTATAAAGGGCCCCAAAAATTACTTGTGTAAAACCGTTCAAACGGGAAAACCAACGGTCTAAACTATATAAAAAAAACGAGAAACGAGAAACACTTACGAACCACATCATCAAACGACAACTATTGATTATCAGATTCCTGACTAAGGACAGGGGCAAACAATTGCAGCGGGTTGAAACGTTTTAATGGTAGCAAACCTTCACCCTTATCTGAAACAATAGTGTAACATTACAACATAGAAAGACACACTAAAAAATATCAATTGAAATGGCTTAACTCAATCAAAAGGCATATTTACACCAAAGAACACACACTGAACAAATAAATTTGATCTATGATACAATGTAAATACAAAGTAAATAAACAAAGGGAAGAATAATTAAAGTAACATGTTATACCGCTGTGAAATGTTAAACAATTTAAGAAAAACAATATGCTAGAACAACAATATAAGCCATTTCCAATTACTTTAAACACAGGTAAATGAAAATAATTTTGTTGTTAGGTATACGTGTACAGTTCAAATAGAGAAAGGAAATATTTTTACAAAATAATTAATTTTGATGTTCATAGTACGAAGAAGTAAAAATTTATAGTAATACCAAACACTTATCAAAGCTGGTATATAGACCAGATATAACCCTGAATAACATCTAAACATGTGACAACTATATATATATGAATTTACATAATAACTCTAAATATCAGCACAACAATCTTAAATCAGCAAATTTGGGGAAACAAATTTTTGTTTTCCCTCGCCGGGATTCGTGTTTATATATATATATATATATATATATTGCATTGTTTCAAACGATTACTTAAATCATGAAAATAAGAAGGTGTTATATAATATATTGTCAATGAGAAAACTCTTCACCTGAGACCAAATGACATATAAATTTACAACTAAAGGTCTTTAACAATGACTAAAACCCATACTGCATATTCATGATCAGCTATATAAGGCGTTGAAATGACAAATGTAAAAGCATTCAAACGAGAAATCTGACGGCCTGATTGATGTATAAAAACAATGAACGAAATACAAATATGATTTACAGCAAAAAAAAACGACAACCACTGAATTACAGGCTCCTGACTTGGGACAGGCATATACGGAATGTGGCGGGGATAAGCATGTTTGCGGGCGCCAAACCCTCCCCTAACCGAGGACGGATGTGTCAAAACACAACATATGAACAAACATTAAGAATCAGTTGAAAAAGGCTTAAATCATCAGATCATCATTAAAATTTTTAGTCAGATTTATAACAATTAAGTTTTATTGTTCAGAGAAAAAATTGAAGGTCTTACCAACTCACATGTTGACAACTAAAGCTTAAATAAATTTTTACAGATATATCCAAAAGATTTTCAATACCGAAAAATGTACCTTCCTGCAAAAAATCAGTGTCAAAGGAAAATTGTTTTTGCACAAATTCAAAACAATATAGCTTGTAATTCTTCTCCATGACATAAGGGAGATTTTAACAACTTTTGGTTTCAAAATAGTTACTTCCGGTGTCATCTTTTTGTCTATTTGTTTCACTGTTCCCAATAACATTTAGGTTTTGTTTATTTTGCTTTGGAATAAGTGAGATAATTTTCTACTTGTTGTGTACAAAAACGCCACTTCCTGTATCTTTATAAATAATATATCTCAAACATGGTTAACTTTAAATGATTTAAAGGGATAAGTAGATAGTTGATGTATACAGGGGAATGTGGGTGTACGCCAATGAGACAGCAATTAAACGACACAAATAAAGCCAACAGATGTCTACAGGTTCATATACTGTACTCGACTATAGACAATACAATATTTTAATATCTAAATCGCCCCGAGTTAAAACAAATGTATTGAGCATCATCATAATGATACAAAACACATAAATCCAAGGGGTGAAACGCTTTTGGAATGTAGGATATAGGGAGTAAAAAATAGTTGGGATGTGGTATACCTAAATAAATGGGATTTTGCAAAAAGTAGTGAAAAAAGTGGAAAGAGTAAAAACAATTATAAAAAAGCGGGATTTTAAGAAATGAGCACTCCCGTGTCAACTCCTCAACGATATTACAAAAGACCATCTCTTACAATATTCGTCACTCGTGACGTACACATAAAAATATGTTAGATTATAACTTTCTCTTATGATCTCAACTACATGTATCCACATGGTTTCAATATTCACTGTTTGACTCTTGTAAACTTGATGACATTTTAGCTACAGTAACAGGCAGCTTAAAATTCCTGTATTTGGCTACCTTTGTCTTAAACATGTTGACATATGAGATCGCTATCCTTCTATATGTGTATTTAAGATGAATAAATGCATCAAGATTCTTCTTATAACCAAAACAAATGAAGAAAGAAAGAAAGAAAATTAAGGTCAGAAATATCGTCATTTTTGCACTTTAACTTGTACATTTAATAAATTTAGATGACGGTTATATAGCAACCCAAATACACAAAACTAAAATACATCTATAATTAGCAACATAAGGTAAGTTATCTATCATAACATTCTATTCAATCGTCATTGACTTTAAAAGACAGAGAAATGTCAACACTATTTTGTAAATTTTCTACATAAAAGTTACTGTATATTCTAACCCTTAGCTTGTTATTTCTGATTGACGCAAGTTTTCTTAACCTGACATTACCCATACTGAATAACTGATTATATTTCTTCCTCACGTTACATAAGCAACATAAACAGAACAAATTAGATCGTTCAGTAATAAAAATAACATGTAGATAATTGGACAATATATCTCTTCCCTGACGCTTTCAATACTTCCAATTTATACAACAAATTATTCCAAATGAATACCAAAATATTTATATGTTGTTTACGCTGACTTTTTTAATTCAGATTCCATATCAAATGAAGAAGATGCTTATTTGTCACATTGGTGTTTTTCTTGATACAAAATCAAGACAAACAAGGTAGGATATCAGCACCACCTGTTGAGAAGAAAATATAAAAATGCTCATCAATCGTTAATTTCGTTTTTGATTTCTTGGCAAAATAAGTTGACGATAGTTGATTTGAAAATAACATAAGAGCTTGTGTATATGTAGTCTTGCTTGCTTAATATTGCGTTAAAATATAATTGGATTGATTCAAATGAGTTCTCAAAACTAGGTTGAAACTATTATTTCTTATTTGCTATCATGCGCATATCTATTTTCTTAAATTGTCATGAAATATGGCTTTCGTACCTTTCCCAATTCTACAATTTATGAGAATTTAGTATCGGTTGCGTTTCCTAACTATATTTACTAAATTAAAGAGATAAGTCTCATATAAAAAGAACCTGTGACCTTTAAAAATGTTAAAAACCGTTTTAACTGAATTATTTTCAACGTGGCATTGTAATCTTAAGGAGGTTCTGTGTTTAAACAGTGACATTAACATGGCGGGTTACACCTTTTTAGTTAAGGAAAAATGATAACTGAGTGATATCGGTATAAAGTATACTTAACAATTGCAGATACGAATGAAACAATTTTAAACAATTGAATACGTTTTTCTTTGTAAAATTTACCCTTCTAAGCTATTGCACATGATATTTTTTCGATGCTCACTACAAAAGGTCTTGAATACTGCTAACCAAGTTGTACTTAAAATCAATTTATTTTTGCGGCGTTTGCGAAAACACGAAGCCAGATAAACGCGAATGTTAATACTAGTAGCCACGAAAATGTCAAAATTAGATCTTCTATTATACGAATACACACAAACAAAGTTATAAAATCGCGAATCTCAATTACCTTATACTAGTAATCGACTAAATGGTGGTAAACGCGAAAATAAATTACGCGTAAATATGTGGGTTTACAGCATACTTCATCAGAAAATTCAGGATCATAACGAAGCCGAAATGCATCATTGGTGTATAAACGCGAGGAAAACATAACCAGGAATAATGATCAACCTTCATAATTACTCTATAATGTTTATTTCGATGAGTATAGTATATCACTAACTCTCCGAACAATGCAATGCTTCTCTTTCCCTGCGACAGTAAAAATTGTTATTCCTTTCTTTCTGCACATCATTTGCCCTCCACAAATCCATCTAATTGACTGTTTTATATTTTTTCATCCTTAAAAAACATGTATTTTTCACAGGATAGTTAAAGTTAATAATGTCATATTTTTTGTTCCGTTTCGTTTCGTTTTATAATGTTTCGTTTCGTTGGTCTGTTTTATTTCGTTAATTCGTAATTTATGGACCTCTAAATAAAGGCAACAGTAGAATACCGCTGTTCGAAATTCATAAATCGATTGAGAAAAAACAAATCCGGGTTACAAACTAAAACTGAGGGAAACACATCAAATATAAGAGGAGAACAAAGACACAACAGAAACACTAAAATACAACACACACAGAAACGAACTATAAGATAACAATAGCCATTTTGCTGACTTGGATTCTAAGAAATGTATTTTCAATATACTTTTCTTTCTACAGGACTTTCATTTCATCAGTTTATATAACATTCATCCTGATATCTGTTTTTAAGATATCGTTGAATTAGGTAATAATTTCTTCAAATCAACAATTAAATCTGATACAGAGAAAAGATGAAGTTCTTTTTTCAGATTTGAAAAAATTAAAAAAAAAATGTCTTGTGTGGATTATGTTTCTAAACTGCTTTATCATCTATCTGCAGCAAATGACTATATAATAAAACATAATAAAACATGACAGATAACCTCCTAAAGTGGGAGATAAAATTAATTCAAAACAAAGAGAGGAAATATGAACACGTACCTGTATCACATTGATTAAGCTACATAAACATTGTAAATGTTTTACTTTCACTCTATCTAACATTTACTTGTGTCATTCAACCTAATTGTGTCTGTTTTTTTTATATAAATACCCTGAAATGTTATCCTATTTATAACGGTTTGTTTGTTGCTTCGTGTTTTTATATGCTTTGTCTGTATCCCTGTTACTTAAACACATCTATCTCTATGTATGTGGGATGTTAAGGCTAAAGTTTACTCTTTGGCTTTAATTTATAATTATTAGTTAAACAAAGTATTAAGACTTAAAATTGTTTTCTGATCGGGGCTATTTTCAATTTTATTTTCTTTGTCAATATCAAATAGAATTACATTTGCTATTGCGTTCATTTAATATATCATTTAAATTTATATTTAATTCATTGTAATTTGAAATGAACAGTTTTTAAATTTATCAGACATTCATAACCATTACTTTTTCATATCAAATTATGATAACAGTTAAAAGACGTCAGTGCATATTTGGACCGAACGAGGGATTCAGCTAGAGGAAGTATTTTTATTGACTTTTCATAATGATTCATTTTTACCCAAATCTGTGCTGTCATTAATCTGTTTCTGTAAACGAGAAGATGTTAGATTGTATCGGGTTTCCATTTCTTGTACATTCATTCCGTTTTTCTTTTCAACATCAGCCAGTTTCATATCAATTAAATCCAATGTAAACTGCTTTAGCTGAGCTAAAATAATAAAAAAAAAATAACAATTGGTTCAATTTCAAAGATCGGATAACGATTTGAGAAATTAAAACGTTTTGCTGCAACTCGATGATAAAATTGATTAGTTTCTACATTCAATTTTGTTTGCCAATCCCAGAAAATAGTTTTAAAACGATCTACTCCCTCCCCTCCCCCTTATCAACAACAATTACCGGTGTCTTCTCAGTCAATCAACAATACCTGTTAAAGTGTGACAGTTACCTGTTAGGTACTTTGATTATGTTTAATTAGCTTTTACAGCTTGTGTGTTAAACATATAACTATTAATTTTACTTCGAAGCATGAGGGATTACACTTGCATTTGTCAAAAAATGGTGTACAGAGTTATTTTCTACTGTCTTGCCTCAATTTGAAAATTATACTCCTAACAAATGTGGTTATAGATACAATATATAGATAAATAGGAAATTGGACGGACAATTGTTAATTGTTTTACTAAAGTTTTATCTTATATTTATATATTTACTTTTTAGAACAGACACAATTGATCTTATAATGAGTTTTATCTTTTCTATTAAATAAAAATAGTATTTATTTATAAATCAAATGTATCTGTTCTAAAAAGTAAATATAAGAAGAGTTAATGGAAACGTCAATGAGACATATTTACCACGTGGCAATGTTAAACAAACAACAACTAAATAAATTTAAAAAATATATAGAACACTATGTTTTACTAAGGGTTTGTGCTTAAAAGGTAAACGAAATGAAAATTAAATGAAAACGAAGAAAAAAAAAACAACTAAATATATGACGAAACGAAATAAACTGCATGAAGTTTGATAGATTCGAAGATTAAACCCACTGTGATAAATCTCGAATTGCTTTTTAAGACAATAACACATACATCTGGGTTGTGTATGACAGGGAATAGTGATTAAGAATAAATTTGTTCTTCCCGCTATAAATGTATTTATTAAAGTTGAGCATACACGTGTTTTCTATTATGTAAACAATCACACGTGATTGTGTGTCCGCATAGTGGTCATCTATTGGTGTTTATATTGGATAAACAGGTTTGTGTTTTAAATATATGATATTTCGGATTGGTCAATATTTGTCGCATTGCGTAAATATATTGAGTATGATATTTGTTATGTAAATAGCACGGGATTTTAAAGCGCGAATAGTTGTCTTGTTTAAGTAATTTAAGATATATGGTCATTCGAAGCTCGTATACCGTTCAGTAAGGCAGCTTAGTTTAGGTTAAGATATGTCCGAACCAGTACTTGATCTGAATGAAGAAGATTTGTTAAGGGACCCCTTACATGGTCAGCCCGAACGTCTTAACGCTTCCAATTCACAAGCTAATCAACAAAACCGTGACTTAGTAGACACTTTTGGGCTTTTTAAAGACTTTTTGGATAAGAAACTTGTTGATTTAAAGTCCGACATTCTGTCAGAACAAGACAATTTATCCGAGAAATACAGAGATGAGGCTAATATTAAGTTCAAATCAGAAGGGAATCGGATTCAGTTTCGTTTTAATGAGAACATTATGGATGGTCTTAACAAAATCCACAAGGATCTTGAATCTGTTGCTTCCCCCCTTTCTTCTATTACTGGTGATTTGGTGGGTAAACTTAAAGAAAGGAACAAACTCATCAGGATCGCTGATAACTCCACTGGGGGATGGGTTACGGTTAGAGAATATGAAGGTAACGATATCGCCGAAAATGATGAATACGAGAAAAAGATTCGCCAGGCCGAGACTAGAGCCCTCAAAACTATTAATGAGAAAAAGACCCGCCCTTAGCCGTATACAGCTAGACCTACTCCAGCAGTTGGAAGTATCGCTACTGCCACTGCTCCTCCTCCAGCTTACGATTTCAGTCGCTATCAACAGCCCTTTCGTACCAGCACTGCACGGCGTGAGCCGTGCCCCATGGACATCTGTCACTACTGCAAGCGCAATGGTCACTGGAGAAGAAACTGCCCACTCAACTTCAAGTCAGCCACAGCTTCTGCATCCAGTTACCAGCCATTCAAACAGCAATGATACAGTTACTGTTAATGATAAGTATCTAGATATAAGTGTGTTATCTTCTAGCTATGAATGCAATAACGACGAACTTGACGAATTTATGTCACAAGTTCAATTTCTTGAAAAATTAGATTTTTCTGCTAGTCATAACTTTTAAGGTGTTAAAGGCAGGCTTGCAAAACATTACGATTTTTGGGTTAAGATTGGAGCTAGTGATTTTGTTTTAGATACAATTAAAAACGGTTATGTAATCCCATTTTTAGTGCCTCCCCCTAGTATGCACATGAAAAACAATAAATCTGCTGTTTCTAACTCAGAATTTGTGGATAAAGCCGTTTTAGAATTAGTTGATTCTGGATGTGCATATGAAATTCCCTTTACGCCTTATATTGTTAATCCTTTATCTGTAGCCACCAATAAGTCCGGAAAAAAGAGGTTAATATTGGATCTTTCAATTTTAAATAAATCCGTCAAAAAGAGAGATTTAAATTTGAAGACTGGAAAACAGCTATTCAATTTTTTAAAAGAGGTTCTTATCTGTTTAAGTTCGATTTAAAGTCTGGTTATCATCATTACGACATTTGTCCTCAGCAACAAACGTTTCTTGGTTTTTCCTGGAATAACAAGTATTACTGTTTTTCAGTTTTAGTTTTTGGTCTAGCTTCTAGCCCTTACTTGTTTACCAAATGTTTGAGATCTATGGTCAAATATTGGAGACAAAATTCGATTGATATTGTTTTGTATTTAGATGATGGTTTCGGAATGGCTTCGGATTACGAATTATGTCGGAAAGATTCAGATTTTGTCAAAAAATCACTAAAAGAGGCTGGTTTTTTAGTCAATATAGAAAAATCTGTTTTTGAACCTACCCAAAAGTTAGAATGGTTAGGAATTACTTGGGATTCTGCTCAATTCTGCATTTCTATTCCCGCAAGAAGATTAAATGATTTGTTACAGTCTATAGATGAAATTTTAGACAGATTTTTGTTTTTCTCTGCTAGGCAATTAGCTCAAGTGACTGGTAAGATTATTTCTTTATCATCAGTGTTCGGAAATTTGACTAGATTGATGACAAGATATTGTTACTTGTGCATCGTGCAAAGATTGAGCTGGGATAAATTATTACAAATAGTTTATCCAGCTGAGATTTTGAATGAGCTTAAGTTCTGGAAATCTAATGTGCTTACTTTGAATAAAAAGAATTTGGCTATGTACAGCCCTTCTTCGATAGTAATTTTTTCAGATGCTAGTAATGTAGCCTGTGGGGCTTATACTGTAGAATTAGAAAATAAGATTTTTCACAAAATGTGGAACGAATTAGAAAGATGTAAAAGCTCCACCTGGAGAGAGATGAGAGCAATCGAACAGGCCCTATTGTCGTTTAGTACTCTATTTATGGGCAAAAGTTTAAAATGGTTTACTGATAACCAAAACTGTGTACGTATAGTACAAGCTGGAAGCATGAAGGAAGATTTACAAAATCTTGCCTATTCTATATTTTGTATTTGTAAAGAGCACAATATATTCATTGAATTACAATGGATTCCCCGCACATTGAATTCAAAGGCAGATTACATTAGCAAAATGAGTGATCATGAGGATTGGCAAATTTCAAATGAATTTTTTGAATTTTTAGAAAGTTTATGGGGACCTTTTACTGTTGACAGGTTTGCTAGCGTGATGAATAACAAGACAAAAAGGTTTAACTCACTTTTCTGGAATCCGACCGCAGAAGCTGTAGATGCATTTACACAAAATTGGCATGGAGAAAATAATTGGCTTGTCTCCCCTATTTATTCAGTTATACGCACAATTAAACATCTGATTTATTGTAATGCTAAAGGGTGTTTGATTGTCCCACGATGAGTGTCTGCGCCATTCTGGTCATATATTTTTAATAAAAACTTGACTTACAAAGCTTATGTTAAAGATGTGCTAGAATTTAAAGAAACGAATAGAATCTATTCAAAAGGAAGTAGTCCGAAGTGTATCTTTGGAACTGAAAAATTTTTATCAGCTGTTCTCGCAGTTAGACTAGACGCTAGTCTGTGATTTTTCACATGATCCTGATATCAATTTCGGAATTGCAGAGGCATGGTGAATGAGATTTTTATTACTCAGTTGAGAATGTAAAAGATGAAGGATTTTTAGCGACATGGCCCTAGTATCATATTTTGTAGTATGATATTGTAGTAGGCATGGTTGATTGTTTAATGTCATATGCATTTTATTATAATAATTTATATGAATACTTGTTTAATTTTCCTTTATTGGGTAACACATATTTCAGATGTTTTCAAAACCAGAAGATGGATTGATATTAGTTCTTTTCGTCAGTCACAATCTCCATCCATGCAGCTCCTTGTAGACCAGATACCTTCCTTTTGTTTGTCATTTAGAGCACCCAACACTCAACGACAGTATAGATATGTTTTCAACGCTTTTTGTAAGTGGTGTTTATCTATTAATATTTCAAACACGTTACCTGCTTCAGTTATTTCTGTCGCATCGTATTAAGTTTATTTGATTAATATTGGTAAATCTACTAACAGCATAATGAAGCTTTTTATGCTATAAGTTGGGCTCATAGATTAGCCGGAGTTGAAAATCCGTGTAAATCGGATTTGGTTATTTCTGTGAAGGAAGGATCTTTGAGATCTGTTGGACACATTGTGGTTAAGAAAGAACCTATAACACCAGAAATTTTGTATCAAATTGTTATGCTTTATTGTAACGATACATCTAATCTTAAAGATGTTAGAATAGCATGTATGTGCCTTATAAGTTTTGCTGGATTTTTGAGGTATTCAGAATTAGCAAATCTGACAAGAAATAATATTGTTTTTCATGATTTGTACATCGTTTTACTGATAGAGAGTAGTAAAACTGATATTTACCGTGAGGGTAGAGATGTATTCATTTCAAAAACGGACAAAATTACATGTCCCGTTAAAATGTTGATGAAATATTCAGACAGTAATGATTTGATTTTTCGTCCTTTATCTATTTGTAAATCTGTAAATTGTTACAAATTAAGAAATGGGAAGCTTTCTCATACTACTGCAAGAGAAATTCTGTTATCTACTTTAATATCTATTGGATTAGACAAAAAGTATTTTGGTTTGCATAGTTTGAGGTCCGGAGGCGCCACTGCTGCTGCAAACGCGCATGTGGAAGATCGAATCTTCAAAAAACATGGTCGCTGGAAATCAGACCGGGCTAAGGACGGATATTTCAAAGAGAACATCAGTGAACGTCTGACAATTTAGGAATTTAAAAACACACATTTGCGCCTTTCTTTGTTTTGTCGAAAATAGCTGCACATGCTGGCGAGCTATTCCTATGTAACAAGTGTTTGTTTTTATTTTATAAATACTTTATATGCGTTTGAGGTGACGAATTAGAATATAAATGTATTTATTAAAGTTGAGCATACACGTGTTTTCTATTATGTAAACAATCACACGTGATTGTGTGTCCGCATAGTGGTCATCTATTGGTGTTTATATTGGATAAACAGGTTTGTGTTTTAAATATATGATATTTCGGATTGGTCAATATTTGTCGCATTGCGTAAATATATTGAGTATGATATTTGTTATGTAAATAGCACGGGATTTTAAAGCGCGAATAGTTGTCTTGTTTAAGTAATTTAAGATATATGGTCATTCGAAGCTCGTATACCGTTCAGTAAGGCAGCTTAGTTTAGGTTAAGACCCCTCTCCCCCCCACCCGGATTAAGATGCTTGTATATTTGAAATGTTTTCACGCATAGATAGATAGATATTTATACTATCAGTAGGACATTCTTTGTTTGATTATTAAGATTTATATGTATATATGATTTCTGATTTTGTTTTTCTATTTTGTAGGCTGTCGTGTACTACGCAGCGGTGTTGCCGATATCATGACATCGGGACTCAATATTTTGTTTTAATAAAATTTAACAGTAAGCTGCACATGCTGGCGAGCTATTCCTATGTAACAAGTGTTTGTTTTTATTTTATAAATACTTTATATGCGTTTGAGGTGACGAATTAGAATATAATGAACATTTATTTCCATCTTGGGGTTAAAAAACTCGTACACATTTATTTATAGGTATAAAGTAAATAACGAAATTGAAAAAAAATAGGAGAATAAGAACACGTTATTTAAATTTCATACATTTTGTTTTAATCATAGCCAACAGTCAATAAACTTTTGAAAGGTCAAACAGTGATCCAAGGTCCTTGACTTTTATTTCACATCAACATTACCCAAAATTACCCAAGTGATCCAAGATTCTTCCGATTTTCTCTCATACAAAATTACCTAAATATATTACGTTTAAATTTTACGTTTATGAATTATTTTGTTTGAAAAAAGTACTTCTAAACTGTATGTTTTTCTTAACTGGAGCCGAATTAGGGTTCTATATTATAACGTCTTTCAAACCATAACACGTTGAATTGTGACCCTGAAATGCTTTTGTATGTAACATCTAAATAAGAAAAAAATATTAGACCTAGTATTTTTTTTTATATTTTTGATCTACCGGCGTTTTACCTCAGGTTTTAGTTATTGTTTTTTTTTCACATTGAACATTATTACTCTTTAATGTATATAAAGGGAGATAATAAACTGTCCCTACTAGAAGAGTGTTCCTCTTTTCCCATGGCAGTTTAAATTATCATCCCCTTTTCTACACATTATTTGCCTTACACAATCCAACTGATGGATTGTTTTATTCATTCTAGTCTTTAAAATGCATTTGTCACTAAATAGATATTCATAATAATTTCGTATTTTTCTTTTCGTTTCGTTATTTTGTTTTGACTCCGCTTTTAAATTTGGAACGAGGTCTTGGTGAACGGAACTAGTTGATATACAGTTTTACTAACCTCTGATTACCGTAGTAATAAGTTCGAACACCAATCGTGGCAAGGGACGTTACATTCTGATCTTAATTGACTAGGATAGCTAGTTTTCTAATCTGTAGTCACTGCGGGTACACAGGCTTCCACCACCTATACAATGTAATTACCGTGATGTAGCAAAGATTGCTCAAATCGGCTCTTATAAATGATGGAGTAATTCACATACATCTTGTAACCAGCAAGATATAGATACATGATAGTTTCATGTAAACTGATTACAGCTAACAGACGTCAGTGCATACTTGGATAGAACGATGGATTCAGCTAAAAAAGTATCTTAATTGGTTTTTTATAATGATTCATATTTACCCAGATCTGCGCTGTCATTAATCTGTTTTTGTAAACGAGAAGATGTTAAATTGTATCGGTTTTCAATTTCCTGTACCTTCATCTCGTTTTTCTTTTCAACATCAGCCAATTTCAAATCAAATAAATCCAATGTAAACTGCTTTAGCTGAGCTAAAATAATAAAAAATAACAATTGGTTCAATTTCAAAGATCGGATAACGATTTGAGAAATTAAAACGTTTTGCTGAGACGTCGACTTGATGACAAAATTGCATAGTTTCTACAATTTTTTGCCAATCACAAAAAATAGTTTAAAAACGATCTATGGCTACTCCCTCCCCTCCCCCTTATCAACAACAAGTACCGGTGTCTTCTCAGTCAATCAACAATACATGTTAAATTGTGACAGTTACCTGTTTGGTACTTTGATTATGTTTAATTAGCTTTTACAGCTTGTGTGTAAAACATATAACTATTGATTAAACTTCGAAGCATGAGGGATTAAACTTGCATTTGTCAACAAATGTTGTACAGAGTTATTTTCCCCTGTCTTGCCTTAATTTGAAAATTATACTCCTAACAAATGTGTTTATAGATTAGATAAATAGAAAATTGGACGAACAATTGTTTTGAAATATTATTCAAATTATTAAGATTTTTTCACTTATTTAAGTTACACTAGTATACAAAAGTGTGTGTAGAATTATAGTTCACAATACATATGTATACATGTAGCAGATGCATGTGACCGCGCTGAAGTGCCCCATTTATATACGCGCCTCTCTATTTTCAAATCCTAGAGACAATGCGATACCTAATTGTTTTGTTCATTTTGTATAATAAGGAAGCCCTTTAAGGCAAATTGTTTGGGAGGTATATCGGATTTTAATGAAACTTTTAACGCGCCTGAATATTGGAATAAGCAGCTTCGCCAAGAGATTTCTGTTATATATAAAAAATATATATAAAGCCTGTATACGAATTGAAATGCTATCAATTTTTGACTTACCACACACCGTAAAATACGTCACAGTTGAAGCAACGACGGCAGAAAATACAGATATTGATAGTATTAGAAGCAAGTGTTTTAACCATTGGTTCCGCGAAGTTAATACCAATTTGCTCGTTTCAATTTTTTCCTTGTCAATCTTAATTTCATCGTAAGTGACATCTTCTTTTTGTCTAAATTCTTCATAATCCTGCATTTGTAATTCTGCCATTTGAATTGTCACATCAATTTCAACACTTCCCAATATATAATATATAAACTAATAAATAAAAACGTATATCCAGCTTTCTATTTATTTATACTAGCAACACGGAAGTATTATGTGTAAAGCAAAGCACACGTGACCATCGTCAGTTACGTTTGGAGTACATGTATAAATAATATAGTGTATTTAAATGGGTGTTTTCATTTAAAGTATGTGTTCTGTTCAAGTATAGTCGTATTGGGTCGAGGTTAGTTTATTGGTTCAAGGTGTAACTGTACGAGGACATATTACAGGATTAATATAAAATTATGACACCTATATAAACCAGTGACTTAAACTTACCACCAAACGCTGACAAGTACAACAAATACCACTATAGGAAGACTCCCACAGGATCAATATGAACCAATTCGGTAAGTTTTCATGTTAAAGCAAAGAATATTGAATATCCATAAAAATTAATAAGGTGCGATGAAATACCCTTTTACTCACCGATGATTAACCTATTGAGACATCAAAACGACTTCACAGACGTGTGTAAACAAAAAAACAATTGCCATTGAGTTTATTAACAATCTTTATATACAACTGAGTTTATAAAATATCGAAGTCGTGAAGTGACGAAGAAACAAGTATTTGAAATAAATCTGGGGCCGAGGATAGTGTATTTTAAGTCATTGGGTAATAATGCTGAATTCGTGCACTCGTCAAAATAACTTAATATTTACTGTAAATTCTTAAAATTTTACAGCTGCATTGAAACTATCATTGGGTTTGTACTTACATGAGCTACACGATGGGTGCCACATATGGAACAGGATTTGCTTAACTTTGTGTATCTCCTGTGATCACCTCCGGTTTTTGGTTGGATTCGTGTTGCTAAGTCTTTAGTTTTCCATGTTGTATTTTGTATACTGTTGTTTGTCTTTTAGTCCTTTTCGTTTTGCAGTCGTGTTGTCACCTAATGTTTGACTTACGAGCAGCAACCCTCTACCAAGGAAATTATGATATTAAATGCAAGCCCTTCAATATCGTATCAACAGGGAGGTTCGTAAATGGTAGAAAAGTGTTCTGTTTTAATACTATACAAGATGAAAAAGTCTTAGATTGTATGTACTCTTAAAGATCTTTGGAATATATATTTCGCAGAGAAGCGTTGTTGAAAAGGTCAAAAGTGAAAAAATCGAATAATATATGCTTGCGGAACTAGCATAGATGTAATCAGGAGGTTTAGACTTGAAATCGTCAATCTTGATATTATGCAACACGTGTTTTAATTCGAAATGTTAGTTGCAATTGGTTTGGTATAGGTATAAAACATGAACGGTTCTTTAAACTAGGGAGGTATTTTCGAGTGAACTGATTTATGATGAAGGAATTGCCCAAGTTGAATGCATCGAGACATTTATTGTCAAAAGAAGGTTTAAAAAATTATCTTTTCTCCTTTCAACTTTTCCAATGCGAAATGGTTTGATGCACAATTGTCTTGTATAAGCACCTAAAATTCAGCCTTTAACATTATTGTATGTAGTAATGTTTTTTCGAAGACTACTGTTAAAAAGTCAACTTTTTCTCAAGAAAATATGAACAAGAAAGGAGGCATTAGAGGTCTATGAGAATTTTCTTTATTGATTATAAACCCGCTTTCTAAGACATGTATCATAGAGTGACAGGGGAGTCCTTCCGTCTTTTTGTTCGTCATTCTGTCATGCTTTTGTATCTGCAACTGCTCTTAAATCGTTTGACACAATGTTATGAAACTATCACATAATCTTAATGAGAGGATTCACTAGTACTGCTGCACCTCTTTTTTTCTTGTCTTTATCTGAATTATATTTGGGATTACATGGACTTTCATTTAGGGGTACCTATTTTGTATCAGCAACTCCTTCTATACCCCTTATTATTTTGATTTATTGGAACTTTCACACTATCTTCATCCTATAATTAATGCTAGTTTATGTTTTGATCACAAAAAGTTTTAGGGTTTCAATTAGCGAAGCATTGAATTTATTTTTTTTTTGTACTAGGTAACCATTTGTTATCAGCAATTTCTGCTAAAAAAAAACCCGTATAACTAATTATCAAAACTTTCTCACAAGCTTAACAATATAATGCTTTTGTGTGCTTATTTTTTTTTAATCAGGATCGTTTTGGGGGCTACCTAACAACAAAACACGGACTTTGCAAGGGGCGGGGGTATCATTTCGTGAGCTTTAAAAACAGTACTTCTAGTTTTATTACTGTAAAAGAAGGACAATTCTATGCATTCTTATAAAATACACAAAAACAGATTAGTACTTTGATCGAATTCAACCCTTTTCAATGTAATACTGAGTTTTTGTTCTGAATACATTTTACCATAACATCGCATAATTATGATATTATAATAATCTTTGGGACCTTTATACAGAAAAAAAAACAATAATTTACAAATCAGTGAAAGGTTTTTAGATATTGTATTAAATAAATTGAAAAACTTAATAGTAATGTAACGGGTTATTTTCTTGACAAACATAACAAACGATGGTGTAATGGTACGATTTTTAATACAAAAATATATTGACTCTTAAACATATATTAATTCGTAGACCTGTTACTAAAATATTTACAATTGACAATTGAGAGTCGAAAGTCTACAGTTGAGACATTATAATTAGGATTCCTATCAAAAGGCTGGATTTCATTTATCTATTGAATTACTCGGTACATCAATAGCTTTTATAAAATTGCTACTAATAAATGTAAAATAATTGTTTTATCAGAAGCTGTTTAGCAAACAATTGAAAACGTAAGTCATTCCATATTTTCTAAATTAAACATGCTATATGGTTTATTTGTTGATAAGAAGCTTGCATAATATGAAGTGACAAACCCTTCATATCGATAGGTTGGTGTACTGATTGTTTGATCGGCTGATTGATTGGTGGAATTATTCATTGATTGGCATTTGTATACTGTTAAAGACCCATACATGTATTTCATATTGAGTAATTCATGGAATGATAGTTTGTTTAACGTCTAGTGAAGAATATTTAACATAAATGCACCCACTCGTCCTTAAGAAAAGGGAAATGATCGGAACCACTTCCTCGATGTAATACACAGAACGGGTCTTAGATAAAAGAAAAAAAACGGGGAAATTCTAAGATTCACATAGATATGTAAAAAAAAAAGTTAAGATCCAGTCCGTTTTTTTTTAAAAAACAGTTTAAACAAAATGCATTCACGTCAAATTCTTAAACCATAAATTCTGAGACACCCTAGACAAAAAGGAAATTCATTAAGGAAGATTCAAGGATAGTTTTTGCGGGGTGTTAATCTTTGCATGTTTCTAATAAAATTATATGGGAAAATGTAAGAATATTTTAACGGAACGGGAGAGGTTGTGCATAGGGTACTAAATCCTGTATCTTCACCGGCCTAAAAATATCATGACTTAAATACTAATAAACCTATCCAGAAACGTGAAATTTAAGGGGATCTAGGCCGTACCTTTTTGTTCCGCTTGTTTCTATTAACCGAAACCCGGGGAAGTTGTTCATCGCCTTCCCCTTTATTTGAAGGAAGGTACAGCTATAGTTCCATGAGTGAGGAAATTGCGTTAGTCATTTTTCACTGGACGTCACAGTAACAAACAATCAATATGAGATGACAGTATGCGAAATTTCCAATTTTGATGAAGAATGTGTCACTTGATGTTATGCAACCAATGTACCAACCAATCAACCAACTATCCTACTACTATAATTAGGTTAGAAAAGGGGGAAAGACCTTCACTCACAATTGTTTTATATTCATTGTAAGCATTGTTAGACAATCCATTGGTGTGCCGAGTGAAACAATAATTATATTCATACTTTTAATATGATTCCATTTCTAAATGTCTCAAGTGTAGACTGAATTGTCAATTGTAAACGTTTATCTTACATGTAAAATGAAAAATATTCAGTGACAGTTGACAAGCGAGTACATGTTATGTATAAGCAAAGGGGAATAACAAGAATTTATTAAAGATCCTTTCTTTATATTCAAATGTGTATTTTTTTTAAATTTATATAGCAATTTGTTTTAAATCTTATAAGTCTGAAGCGCATTTCAGCATTTACCTTCATTAGGAACGCGCAAAGCCAAATTTTATTAAAGTTTTCAAGATAATAATCTTAAACGGAACCAATTGGTAAAAATCTGCATTTAACGGCAACAACTCCTACTGATGAGTAATCTAATGATTTCAGCATTTATTTGAATTAATTTTGAATCTTGTCATGCTGTTCATTCACTGTAAAAAAAGTTTCTTTCAATCTATTTTAGTTTTCAAGATAATAGGCAAAAAACGTAAGAATTCTTTTGAAAACAACATTGTTCCCTCATTATATGAGGTAGACCTTCAACAAGATCTTCTCAAAAAGATAGTATTGACCGTCAGGTACACTTTCTTATGGCAATTGTTCTATCATATTAGACGAGTGACATTAACCATAAAATTTTATTTTTAATGCACCCACCTAGCATACGGCTAAATCATATACCATTCGAAAGCACATCATCTGCACTACCTTTTTTGCCCGGTCGTCAAAAATTCGTATGTTGCAGTTTCTGTCAAATCACAACGAAAGGTTAAGGACGGACAACTTCTAATTTTACAAGAAGTCAGCATTTTTTGCATATTCTGTCTTCTGAATGATGATATTTTGTATGGAAATATGGAAATCTGTTAGAATAGATGTTAATAGTAACTTATCAAAAGCACTTTGAAATATTAATGTCGGTTTTTTAATAAATAGCGCTATTTTCCAGAAATTCCATTGAAAATGACAAAAATGCATGAAAATCAAATTTTATGTCTGTGATTCAACTGTTATTCACCATAAAACCAAATAACATATTTTATTTAGTGCTAAGAATGTTTTTGACATCATTAAATTACTGCAATTACGCTTCTTGTTCATTAAACCACCAATTATAACAACTATGCAGTTGCCCAAAATACCGCCATCTGCAAGAAAATAGCTTTTTTAGCTGTTCTTTGTTAAAAAAAATTGTATCTAGTCACAATTATGTTGAAAAACACAAATTTTAAAAGTGCAAAAATGTTAAAGGATA